GAGTGGGAGGAAGGTGAGACCTAGCGAGAGATGCGTCTGCCAAAAGCATGCCGCTGCCGAGGCCGTGTGTAATTACCTGCTGTCGAGGTGGGCGTTAATTGCCGCTCTGGTTGCGGATGCTGCCAGGTGACAGTTGTCATCTGGAAAGTCCCTGCTGCTCCCTGGCAGGCAGGTCATTCAAACCAGTGATCAGTCTGGATCGCTCGTGGCATGAGCATTACTCTGAGGTCAAGACGGTTTCGGGTCCAGGCTTCCACCCTTCCTCTTTCAAAATGCCCCCTCCCCGGCCTCCTCCTGCTCACGAGCACCCAGCTGCCTTGGCTGGGTGAAGAGCACTTGGGGGTGCCCACGGGTCCTCCTGTGGTGCCCCCCAGCAGCTGGCACTGTAGGCAGCACCCCAGCTCCAGCTGGCATTGCCCCCAGGGCCATCTCAGCTGCCACGCTGCCCTGGTTTATAGCGAGCTGGGGGTGTGTGTATTTTTGATAAGTTGAGCCATAATTCACAGCAGCTGATTCCCGCAGGAGATGGGTGAGACCTGGGGCTGGGAGAGCTGGGCAGCATCCCCAAGGCCAGACCTCAGCAAGAGGGAGGCCTTGGGCCACCAAGGAATCCAAGGAATTAAAAAAGCAAATAGCGCGCTGTGTATAGGTGTTTCCTCTCCTCATACTTTGCTCCTGGCCCAGTGTATGCCCGGCTGTTCCCGATGCCCTGATTTGGGAAGCCACGGCACTGACAGCCGGTTTCTCTGGCTGAGTTAGAGTGCAGAGCAGGTCCCTGCCTGGCTGCTGGGGCTCATCTACCCCCCGGTGCTGCCCAAACAGCCCACCGGCTCTGGGTTAAGGCTTTTGCAACTGGAGACATTGCCCTTTCCCAGTGCAACCCTTTCTGCCCCCCAAAACTATTGCATTGGTGAGAGGGATGCTCCAGTGACGAGTCCACACTGGTGAGGGTGGGTGCTCCTGGAAGGGGTCTCCATCCCCACAGGGATACAAGGGCAGCCGGCTGTGACCCCCTCAGGGACTCCCATGTCCCACAGGGGTGAGAGCCGGCCTCGGGTGGGGGTGCTGGTGATGCTTCATCGCGTGACACTTCTCATGGCCATGAGTCACCCCAGCACGTTCACCCCAAGCAGGACTGGAGGGGGAAGTGTCTTCACCTGGGACACTTCTCCACTGGCCAGCGAGCAGTGAGGCAGCCCTGCCGCCATCAGCACGGCACCCCGGACCCCTGCACGGTTGGGACCAGGGGACCGCGATGCCATCCAGGACCAGAGGAAGGTGACGCTGTGCTCCGTTGCCTTGCAGGGATGCCTGGCTGGGAGGTAGGCGACTGAATGGCAAGCATGGAAGGGAGAGGACCCTACCGCATTTACGACCCTGGCGGGGGGACGGAGGAGAATGGATCCACAGCCTTTGAGCGGCTGGTGGAGGAGAACACCCGGCTGAAAGAGAAGATGCAGGGGATCAAGTCTATCGGTAACTGCTGCGTGGCTGGGGGATGAGGTTTGCGTTTGGGGCAGCTCAGCCTGTGCCCACCGAGCCTGGGGGTTTCTTGCTCTATTGAGGAAGGGTGCTAGAAGAAGCTGGGGGTCTTGGCACTGGGGCAGTAGCAAAGCTCTCCCCATCCTGGGGGGCCAGGCAGGGTGTCTGGGCTTGTTCACGTGGGGATGTAGAGGGAACAAGGCTTTTGCTGATCTCTGGGGTGCTTTACAGTGGGATAATAGGCTGGAGGGGAAAAAAAAATAAAAAGGCAAGTGGTGGAGCAAGGTCAGCTTCCCGGAGTCCTGCAGTGGCAGGCTGTAGGTGCCTGGATCTGTTCTGCCGTTGATGAAAGCCCCCACCTCCCACAGCCCCCTGTTGTCAGGGGCGTTTCCCAGGTGCTGTTCAAAGACTCTGGTGTTGGGTGCTCCCCGCAACGGCAGGGACGTGTCGGTGTTGAAACGCCCCAGCTGAGTCGTGCCATCCCCTTTTTCCTCCTCGGCCGCCTTCCCCCACCCACCCCCAGTTTTGCTTTCGGTCTCGTGACCCAGCTTCTGCTTTCGAGTCCTGCCTCTGCAGCCGAATTTCCACCTGCCTCGTGATTCCTGTCGTGTCACCATGCCCCTACCTGGGACCGGGACCCACTGGCGTGGGAGCAGCCGCCCAGGGTGGGGAGAGGATTGCATTGTCAGTGCCAGACCCCCAAGCTGGCAGGCTGGACCCTGCACCACTTAGGCTTAAATCTGGCTCTTCTGGGAAGTAGAGGAGACCTCCAAGAGATGCAGTGCTGCCCTTCTGCCTCCTGTAACCAGTCCTCTGTGTGTCATCATGGAGGACTCTGCAGCCAGTGAGCCACTGAGATAGCTTTGCCATTGGATTTGGTCAAGAAAAGATCCTTCTGGAAGAAGAAAGACTCTGCTGGGCACTTTTCCACCCAGGCAGGGGGCTTGGTGCTGGTGGATGGAGCTGCTGCAAGGCAGGCACTCGGGGAAGGGAGGTTGAGCACCTTTCTGTTGTCCACAACAGGAGAGCTGCTGGAGGAGTCCCAGGTGGAGGCATCCAAGCTGCGACAGAAAGCAGAGGACCTTGTGAAGGACAACAAAATGCTTATTGCATCATCTTCCTTGGAGGACCTGGTGAAAACTGGAGGTAGGAGACAGGAGGCTCGCTGAGGAAGGATGACCTGATGGCTTGGGATCCCCAGCTCAGGGGAAGGGAGAGGGTGTAAAGGAGACTTTCATGAGGGTTTCTCACAGCTCTCTCCTCTCTAGTGTGTCAAACCACTGCTGTCCTCCCTTCTCCTGTGAGGGAGGTTTCTGTCCCATCCCCATAGCTGGGGAAGAAGCCATCCATCAGTGTCCAACCTTGCAGGGTGCCTGCTCTCTGCATCCTGCGCCGGGTGAGGAGAGGCTCTGCTCTCCAAAAGGCTCACGGCTGTGTCCTCTCCCCTCTCCGCAGCTGTCGGCCCTGATCCCAGCTCCACACAGGCCACCCCGGGCAGCACCCAGCCAGACGTGGAACCACGGAAATCTCCTCCCAGTGTGAGTCTGATGAATGGGAGGGCTGGTGCTGGCGTGGCCAGAAGGAGAGACTCGCCATCTAGTTAAAAGCAAAAGGTGGCAACCTTTAGCCTCTAGAAATGGGGATAAATCTGAAAGGAGGGGTCAGCTTCCCTGCTGTGCTCCCGTCCTGGTGGTCCCTGCCTCCGTGCAGTGGGCATCCTGGGTTGCCGTTCCCCAGGGAGACCTGACCTGGCTGCTTCCCCTTGCAGGGATCCTCCTCGGAGTTCGAGATCGTTGCTGTTGAAGCACAAGGGTTTCCCCAGGAGAGCGGGAGAGCGGTGAGTGGCCCTGGTACCTGCGGGATTTGGTGGGCGGCGGGTGGAGAGTAGAGCCCGTTGGTGTGGGGGTAGACAGGCAGCGGTGTGCCGCTGTGGGCAGGCACAGGCAGGGCTGAGGGGACCTGTGTCAAGGCGGCCCTTGAGGAAAATGCAGAGGAGGGATAAACTGTGCCTGGCTGTTCCCAGCGGAGCAGAGCCAGCCCCATGTGCGGCTCTGACAGACGTGTGCAGGCTGCCCTCCAAGGACAAGGGCTCCCCAGGACAAGTGGCCTGGCTGGGCGTCCTGGGCACATGGCTGGCAAAGCAGCGCCAGGCAGCCAGGGACACCAGTGTCTCCAGATGCCACGTAACAGCGACAGGAAGGGCTGTGATGGCCCGAGAAGCTGACGGTGATGCTCTGACGCTCACCTCCTGACACCCGTGCTGGAGAAAAGGTCTCTTTTCCAAGCCCCGTCATTGCTGAGAGGGTCTGCCCCAGCCGAGGCACCTTGGTGTGCTGTCACTTGAACATCCCCCTGGCTGGCACTGCCCCGTTCTGTCCTACTCCCACTTTTTGCGTGTGCTGGAAGGGAGGGGAGCCGGGAATGGGGAGCCCAAGGGGAACAAACATCAGCTTGCATCGCATGGTGCCAGTAAGGGGACGCGCTCTCGTTGCGCATCCCAGTTTGCGTTGGCCAGAGAGGCTCCAGGAGGGTTGAGTCTTATTGGACCCTCTGGGGGTGCAGCCATGGGGTGATGGAGAATGGGGTGGCATCCACTTGGCAATCAGCTGCTGGTGCCCGAGCCGAGCGCTAGTCCCGTGTTTGCACCTGAGCTCTCCCAGGCGCTCCAGCCGGGCTCTGGTCCTCACTGCCTCCCCTCACCGGCTAGCGCTGGTGGGAGGAACTGGCCCCACTGTGCACCACACGCACCCTCCTATGGGAGTTTTGGGGCTGTAAATGGGGCCAAGGTGCTGGGGACATGCTGGGATCCTCGCCCCACGTGGTGCTGCCCGGGGCATTCCCATGGGTGGCTGGGTGAGTCAGCAGGGCCGGGAGCGCAGCGGGCAAAGGTGTGCCAGTGCTTCCCCACCTCCTCCCCGGCAGTGTCAGCGGTGTCTCCTAGGCAGCAGAGGAGTTAACCAGCCGTACCAGGGGAGGATGAGCCGTTGGGGACACCCTTTGTGCGTGGGTGGGGTGTGCCGTGACGCTGGTGGGTGCGCCCTGATCCGGGCTCTCCTGGCCACCATTTAAATCCCGTGCGTCACCCTCTTGGCTGCCACCTGCCAAGGAGCCCGGGTTCCCAGCGCCTGGCGTGCCGTGGCAGCAGGGGAGCTGCAGAGCCGTGCTGGAGGACGGGAGGAAGGAGGAGATGGGGACTAGGGTAAGATCACCCCTCATACGGCAAACCTCAGCTCCTGGCACAGACTGGCGAGTGTGTGGAAAGGACGGTCTCAGGAGCTGGGATTTCTAGCCCAGGTGCTGATGGGGAGAACTCAGGGGGAAGAAGGGGTTAGAGGTGGAGATGCCTCCATTGCTGTCAGCAAGCTGGGAGTATGGTCTGCTCAGACTGCCGAGGAGCATGGGGAATCCATGGGCTGGGAGAGCTGCCATAATGTCCCCTTCCACCTGGGGACTTGGTGTCCCATGTCCAGCAGCTGAGAATCAGACCTGGATAAAGCCAACACAAAAATTTTCAGTGTAACGAGAGCTGTTGCAGAGTCTCTCAGTGATGGCTCATCTCTCCACCACAGCCCTGGATGAGGGACAAGGCTGACCTGTCCCAAGAGGGAACTTTGCAATGCTCCCTGAACCGATCTAACCATGCTTCATCCCCTCCCCATCCCCAGGACTTGGAGCAGCCACCAAATGAGGATAGCAACCTGTTGCCCCAGCTGCAGCAGCTGGAGAGCACGCTGAGCGGCTGCACCAAGGAGGCCAGCAAGGACCAGGTCTTCGTGCGCATGGGCTACATGGCCTCCGAGCTCAAGCGCCTGGCTTCCAAGGTGCACAAGAACGAGCAGAGAACATCGTTCCTGCAGGTGAGCAAGGACTGGCTGGGCTTTGTGGGGGGTTTCTCCCTTTTTTTCCCCACCAAGCCCCTCCTGCCCACCCTGAGGTAGACACCCACCCATGTGCCAGGGCTCGGTGGGAGGTGGGTGGCCAGACAGGCTCCTGGGGCTGGCAGTGGTCCTCACGCTGCCTGCGTTCATCCCCAGACGCTGTGTGAGACGCTGCATAGTGAGAACAAGGAGCTGCGAACCAAGCTGGAGCGGGACCTGGAGCAGAGAAACCAGGCACTGGAGAAGCTCAGGTGAGGGTGGGTGGTGGGGATGGGGATGGGGCTGCCCTAGGTTCTTCTTCCTG